ATTGTTAACTGCATCCCTAAATGAATGGAAAGTGTGTGGGTTTTTTTTTTTTTTTAAGAATATTCAATGTCAGAATATGATTTTATATTTGAAAACAAAATTAAATCTATAACCACTGTTTCTATATCACAATTAAAGACTGAAAATTTTCTTGGCAAGTAGAGGTACATAAAAAGGAAAATCCATCTTCTGCATGAGTAATTACAGTGGTTGAGGGATCATAAGAATTCTTTCCTAGAATAAATGTGTGAATCTCTGGGGTAGATCAAAAAACGTCATTGCAAATGTTATCCTACTAATACCTGGGCTTGAGCTAGTTTACATATTCATGAATGTGGCCAAAAATAACAACACTTTAATGAAATTGACTAAAAAGCGTGTGTGTGTGTGTGTGTGTGTGTGTGTGTGTGTGTGTGTGTGTGTATTTACTACGAAGGATTTCTCCTGTCCACGAGTCTTCTCTGCCCATCTTTTTGCTGGGATTTGAGTAGTTATTCTTAGAAGCTTAAAAAAAGAATTGGTTAGCCAAGTTCAACAGTGCCACCCCAGAAGATAAAAGCACTGATTTACCTTCACAGTTTCCAAGTCTCCAGCTTTAGATGCCTCTAAGAGTCGATAGTCAACATCAGAAGTGCGTATAGGCGTACTCTCTGCATAAAAAAAGGAAAGGTTACTGTTGGTTCTTGAATAATCTCAGAGTAGTTAAGGAGGAAAAATTATTTGGTAAGTGGAAAGAGATTAAGGGGTCAAAAATTTCTGAGATCTAATATCGGGTTTTCCCCAGTCTTTTTCAGATAAGAAAAAAGTGTTTTCTTATTTAAATCTATATCCACCTCATCCTAAACCAAATTTAAATAAACTCTAGTATACACAAATCCTTCTCCATCCCTACTACTCTACCCCTCGAATTTGCTGGTCACAAATTTGGCAAAGGGAAGTGAGAAAACCTAGGACCAATAGATCCAGAACATTTTTATGATAACATTGGTTTTACAAAGTGTTGTAGCAAAGCTTTGCCATAGATTTGTTTCTTTCTTTACTGGAAATCCCTTTATCTTCTAATGCCATAGATTTGTTATGTAAACCTAGGGAAGCCACTTGACTTTCAGTACTAAACGTTTAATTTTTCTGTTTAGTCTCAATGACCTCAATATAAAAAAGAAGTACTACTCCTGAAATCAAAATGATTTTAGAAATTATAATCAGTGAACAAAAAAGGCCTACCAAAAACAGACATTTGTTTAATTCACATTTATTGAATGGCTTCAGGGAAATGCTATTTAAAATGTCTGGATAATTGGAAGGTATGATACCAATGCTAAATAGAATATAATTAAATGGGACTATTAAATTGAGAGGCTAACAAATGAGGTATTTTGATTAATCCACCACAAACCAACCAAATATTCATTTCATAGGTATGCTTATGGACATTAAGTGTGGCTCTTAAAATTGGGCACACACACACAGAACACAAAAGGAGGCCTAAATTTTAGACTGTGCTCTATTATCTGTAACTTTGGACAAATCATGCAATAGCTTAGTTTTTGAACTTATAAAGTGAGAGTTAGAAGTCTCTTTCAGATTTAAGATTGTGAGAAGATCAAGTGATGCTATGAAAAGGTTTTAGATTTCAGAAGAAATACTT